GCAGGCTGGAAAACAAAGGAGAATCTCTGCCTTCAGTCCAATCAGGAAAATATTTCAGTTGCAGAATGGAGGTGCAGAATTCAAAGTAATTTATGCAATAGCCATGGAGATATACATACATACATATATATATATATATACAAAATAAAAACAATTCTTCTTCCTAGGAACTGCAGCAGCTTAGCAAGCAATACAGCAACATCAAGCTCCTGCAACTGGGTGAGTAAAGGGCTTTATTTCTGAAATTTGTTCAGCTTAGGTGAGTGCACATTTCAAAAATTGGTCTCCTCAGTGATCAGTAGCTGGACACAATCTCCAGCAGCTGAAAACCATCTTAAAATAACACTGGGGAAACGTAATTCTGTAAAATCTGTGCATTTTCACCTGTGTGCTGCCCAAATGTCCCCACTGAGCCTCAGCTTTGTTTTGGCACGGGTTGTCTCGTGCCAGGCACACCCTGCACTGTTCACTTGGAGCTTTTCTTGCCTCCTCTGTGCAGATGTGGTCTGTGAGAACAGCATCAAGAAAGTGGTGAAGGAAGTGGAAGAAATTGTGGGAGACAAAGGGCTGAACTGCCTCATCAACAACGCTGGCATCAACGTGCTCGCCTCGCTGGAGGAGGTCACAGCAGAGACCATGCTCACCATCTATGAAACCAACACTGTCGCCCAGCTGATGGTCACCAAGGTGAGGATGGGCTTAACCTGGGGCTTTTCCACAGGTGAGCTGGACTTGTCCAGGTATTTGTCCCCTTGGAACTGCACAGAATGGTCCTGACATGGAGCTGCTGCCTGTGAACCTGGTGTGGGGTCACTTCATGGCAGGTGGGGAGAGGAGGCTGCTGGAGGAAGGTTTCCTCTGGCCACTGGCTCTGAGGAGGCATCACCACGCTGTGCTGGAGCTCCTGCTTTGAACGAGGAATGATCCAGCTCCAACCCCCATCACCAACTGAAAGCAAACTCTGTTCTTCACAGGCGTTCCTCCCGCTGCTGAGGAAGGCGGCACAGCTGGGCACGGGGATGGGCTGTCACAGAGCTGCCATCATCAACATGTCCTCTCTGGCTGCCTCCATGCAGCTCGTCCAGGCCAATGAGATGTTCCTCAAGGTCTATCCCTACAGGATAGCAAAGGTTTGTGGGCTGCCCTGGGCTGTGCTCCCTGGCTGAGGGCAGGTGGAGACCATGCTGACCTTAGCAAGGGGTGCAGCACCTCTGTGGACACAAAAAGTGTTCTTGTTCTCCACGTGGGTGGAAGTGGGAGCTGTGGAACGCTGCAGCTGGAGTGACTCCTGGAGAACAGGCTCCCAAATCCCTGCTCTGATACAGATCCACTCCCGAGGGATTTGGCATTTGGGGAAGAGCTGATGGCATCGAGTGTGGGCTCCATCAGCTGTGCTCTGCTCCCAGAGAGAGAGCAGGCAGGAAACTCAGCACAAGGTGTGCTGACCTGTACCTGGTGATGTCAGTCAGTGACAGGTGGGATTTTTAGTTTTCTCACATCCAGAGACTGAGTTTGTACAGATAGTCAGGATCACACATACAGCTTCTCCTACACCACCTACTCATAAGCTGTTAAATGCTTGTTTTCCCTGTTCAGAAGTAAATGAATGTTTGTGTAGTGATTAGTGCAGAAAAACACAGTCCTTATGTCAATATTATTCTCCTCTCAGCTCCTGAGGCGTTTCAAATGCTACTTTATCTTCCATTACTGCCTAGTTTCGTTTTGGGGCAGTGAGTTTGTGGTGGCAGAGCTTTCAGAGTTCCCAGAAAGTCTGGATGAGTTACTGAGAGCTTCTTCCTGCCCTTTGCTGTGCCAGCAGGGTGGAAGGGAGGTGCCCACCAGCTGGGCTTCAGGTGGTGCTCCAGGCTCATAAACAGCAGATTAATGGGTGGTTTCCACTCCTGCAGACTGCACTGAACATGATCACCCGGTGTCTCGCTGCAGACCTGAAATCAGACGGAATTCTCTGCATCTCCTTGCACCCAGGCTGGCTTCAAACAGACATGGGTGGAAACATGGTGAGTGCCAGCGCTGGAAATGGGACACTGGGGCTCCCGTGCTGTCCCAACCCCCTGGCTGCACACCTCCGTGTGCTGTGACACACAAAAATGTCACCACTGAGTCAGAGATGACACAGATAAATGAGTGACACACTCCATGCACTCTCTGAAGGCTAATAACAATTTTATTAAGAACCCATTCCTTTTTTTACTCTAGTTTGCCACAGAAAGGGTGCTAAGAAACCAACCTCATGAGGAAAACAGCTTATTACAAAACACCACTGTGGATTGTTTTAATTCTTCCTCTCCAGCTCCCTCAGGCCAATTCATGGGAAAGCTTATCTAGCTTTCTCTCTCTCTCTGACCAGTCACATCCACACAAAAATACATCCCTGTTCATTCTAGAGCCTCCTGAAATGTATTTAATTCTCTTCTGCAGGATATTCCCAGTAATGACCTAAGCTTGATTCATTCCAGGCTCCCATGCAGGTGCAGGAGGCTATCCCAGGTATTCTCTCTGTTCTGGACCGTCTCGGTGAAAAAGAAAATGGTTCTTTCCTGGACTGGCAAGGGGAAACTCTGCCGTGGTAGAAGTGCACAGAACTCCACAGGAACAGCTCCTCAGTCACAATTTAACCTTGCCACTCCTGTCTGTGTCTCTAGGGGTTTTTACACGCTTGTTGAAATAGCCAGTCTGACACTCAGCCTCTCTCTAGGTGTGTTTGGAAAGAAAAGGGGCTGAGTCTTTCACTTGGTATTGCTACTGCTCTGCTCTAACTGCAAACACTGCTGTGCTCTCGGTGATGGGCATCTCCTGGAATGGGCATCCCTCTGAAATGGATTCAAACCTGCAGGTTAAATCCAGGGGCTGCTGCTTCCTTTCCACTTCCAAAGTGGGCTTCTGGCTCTTGGCAGAATGAAATGACCTGACCTCAGGGTAAGGCCAGTGCAGGCTGTCAGATTCCAGACTGCTCAGTTACCTCCAGGAAAAAAAACTCCTTTGATTTCCTTTGTTCCTAACTGAGCCAAGGCTGAAATTGCCCAGCTCTAAACCAAGGGAATTTGGTGAATTCCGTGGCAAACTCTGAGTGTCCCCAAGTTGCCAGTGTACACCAGGCACTTTTTTTGTTCCCAGTGGGTGACTAACAGCCTGATATGGGGGTGGGAATGTTGTTTTGTACATAAACTTCTGAAATGTCTTCAATAAAGTCTTGATTAAACAAACAGTCTGTTTAGCGAACGGTTTACTTCATTTAATTTCTCCTTGTAGGTTTCTCTTTCCTGACAAGGGAACTTTATTCCTAATTTTCAGGAAGAAACTCTAGCCCATGTTAACCTTTCAGGGTATTTGGGTTTGACACAGTGGGGTGTACCTAAACCAGAGGCAGACCCTTGTTCTGGTCTGAAATACTACAAGCAGCTGGTGAATAAATCTCTGACAGACCCTTGTTCTGGTCTGAAATACTACAAGCAGCTGGTGAATAAATCTCCTGTGTTCTGGCGGAGGTAGGTATAAAAGCAAAAAGCTCTTTGAAGTCTGGGATTGGCTTCCACATCCCTCCCTCATGCCAGCTGATTAGGCACTTTCATGCTGTGCCAAGATGGTGGGTTCCTGTGCCGAGCCAGAGAGGACAAACAAGAGCCAGGTAAGGGGAGAGGACAGGTGTGGCTGTCCCTGGACAGCGGCCACCGGGACCTGCCCCCGGCTGCAGACGAGGGTGTGGCAGGAGAGGTGTGTGTGCTTCCATGATCCCCGCGTCAGTGGGGACAGGCTCTCTGGAACAGCACCACAGAGTCCTCAGGGAGTCACGGAACCCTTCGGGGAACCCTTCAGGGAATCACAGAACCTTTCAGGGAATCACAGAACCCTCAGGGAATCACAGAACCCTTCAGAGAATCCTTCAGGGAATCACAGAACCTTTCAGAGAATCACAGAACCCTTCAGAGAATCCTTCAGGGAATCACAGAACCCTTCAGGGAATCACAGAATCCTTCACAGCACCACAGAACCCTTCAGGGAATCACAGAACCCTTCAGGGAATCGCAGAACCTTTCAGGGAATCACAGAATCCTCAGGGAATCACAGAACCCTTCGGGGAATCCATCAGGGAATCACAGAACCCTCAGGGAGTCACAGAACCCTTCAGGGAATCACAGAACCCTTCGGGGAATCCATCAGGGAATCACAGAACCCTTCAGAGAATCCTTCAGGGAATCACAGAACCCTTCAGGGAATCACAAAATCCTTCACAGAACCCTTCACAGCACCACAGAACCCTTCAGAGAATCGTTCAGGGAATCACAGAACCCTTGAGGGAACCACAGAACCCTTGATCCTTCACAGAACCCTTCACAGCACCACAGAACCCTTCAGAGAATCACAGAACCCTTCAGAGAATCCTTCAGGGAATCACAGAACCCTTCAGGGAATCACAGAATCCTTCACAGAATCACAAAAGCCTTCACAGCCTCACAGAACCCTTCAGGGAATCACAAAACCCTTCACAGAATCACAGAACCCTTCAGAGAATCTTAGGGGGCTGTGAGGGACCCATGAAAGGCCATAAAGTCCCATGAGGGACTGACACTGGTCCCTCAAGGGGCCCTGAAGGGCCATAAAGGGCCGTGAGGGACCACAAAGGACCATAAAGCCCCACAAGGGACCCTGAGGGGCCGTGAGGGACCATGAAGGCCATAAAGTCCCACGAGGGACCGACACCAGCCCCTCAAGGGGCCCTGAAGGGCTGTGAGGGACCATGAAGGCCACCAAGTCCCACGAGGGACCGACACGGGCCCCTCGAGGCACCCTGAGGGGCCGTGAGGGACCATGAAGGGCCATGAGGGACCATAAACGACCGTGAGGGACCATGAAGAACCACAAAATCCCACGCGGGACCGACACGGGCCCCTCGAGGCACCCTGAGGGGCCGTTACCCGCGCGCGCCGCCAGGCGGCGCTGCGGCCGGCCGGAAGTTCCGGTGGCGGCGGGGCCGGTGGGTGATGGCGGCGGTGGCGGCGGGGCCGTGAGGGGAGGGCGAGAACCGCGGCTCGGGGGCTCCGTGCGGATCCCGCCCGGGGCGGGGCAGCGCCGGCAGTGCCGGGAGGGCTGAGGGGAAGGAGGCGGCCCCTCGGTGACGGCCCGTTTTTATGCCGCGCGGCTGCTCCTACCGGCCGTAGGGAGGAGCAGGGCTGTGCCAGGGAGCTTGGCTGGCATTGCCGTGTTTTTAAAGTTAAAACAGCGCAAGGTTTATTAATAAATCGCCTCCGCGGCTCAGCTGCTCCTGTGTTTGACCCCCACAGCAGAGCCCCACAGACTGAGGGTAAAACCAGGAGGATGTTTAGGGTCTCAGCCTGTCTTTTGGGGATGTGGGGTTGAATAGGGAAGGTTTTTTAATGCTGCATGTTTGCATGACTGAATAAATGTTCTTATTTGAACAGTCATTGCTGGCTCTGCCAGTGAACAAAGAGAAACAAAATGTTAATATCACGGCTGAGTTCCCAGTTACTGAAGGCTTCGAGAATTGCAGGTAAATTGGTATTGTGTGGCCAAGATTTCTGTTTGTTTGGGTTTATTTTCCTGGGGTAATTGGGCTCCCAGAAGGTTTTTTTCCCACCAAGAAGTGCAGGAGAGAGGAGGCTGTTGTTGAGTCAGTGGTTGTCAAATGTTTTTATGTCTCTGATTTATTATCTAAGTACGGTGTGGCTTTGGTTTGACCTTAGGAGAAGATTCCTTAGCAGCAGAGAGGTTTGATGCAGCAAACACTTCCTTACCATTCCTAATTGGTTTTCCATCAGAAAGCACAAGAACGTTCCACTTCATGGAATCATGGAAGGGTTTGGGTTGGAAGGGACCTTAAAGGCCATGGAATTCCAAACTCCTGCTGAGCAGGGACACCTCCCAGTGAAGGAGAGCCTTAAAGACCGTGGAATTCCACTCCTTTCACCTCCCAGTGAAGGGGAACCCTAAAGACCATGGAATTCCAACCCCTTCAGCTCCCAGTGAAGGAGAATCTTAAGGAGCATGGAATTCCACTCCCTTCACCTCCCAGTGAAGGGGAACCTTAAATACCATGGAATTCCAAACTCCTGCTGGGCAGGGATATCTCTCAGTGAAGGAGAATCCTAAAGACCATGGAATTCCACTCCCTTCACCTCCCAGTGAAGGGGAACCTTAAATACCATGGAATTCCACTCCTTTCACCTGCCACTGAAGGGGAACCTCCACCCTGCTCTGCCTGGGCAGCTTACCCAGTAAAATATAAAATATTTTTAGCATGGCAGCATTGTAGTTAAAACTGAAAACCCTTCCTTGCTTTTGTGATGTCGATTCAACTTCTGTGAGTGTTTCCCTTCATCAGCTTGCTCTGGCCAGATCTGTCTGTTTTCCAAGGAGTCTTCCAAGGACAAACTGGCAGTTTGAGAGCTGGGCAGAGCTTTTCCCTGGAAAATTCTGCCTTTTGAGGTGCAACCCCTTTCTCCCAAAGGCCACCTCTTGCCCAGGTCGGTGTCCTCGTTCCTCTGCTGCCGCTCTCCGTGCGCACGCTACAGCACCCAGCCCCCCAACACCAGCGGGGCCCAGCCCCAGCAGTGGCACTCGCTGGACCCTGAGCTGGAGGAGATCCTCATTCCCAGGAAACTCTCCATCAGCCCCTTGGAGAGCTGGCTGACAGTGAGGTACTCCCTGCCCAAAGCTGAGGGGGCTCAGGAAGAAGCCAGCCATGAAAGCCCGCAGCCCTTGGAGTGTCCCCCTGCTGCTGGGACAGGGATTGTGGAGGAAGGAGAGGGAGCCCTGGGGGACAGAGTGCAGTGCAGGAATGTGCTGAAGATCCGCAGGAGGAAAATGAACAGGCACAAGTACAAGAAGCTGCTCAAGAGGAGGAAGTTCATCCGCAGGAGGATAAAGGAGGGGCGCAAGAAGAAGCGTCAGGTGAGCTCAGGGGAGGGGGAGTTCCCTGACAGAAGTGTGCCCACACATCAACCCAGCTTCTGTTTAAGTGGATTTAGGGAAAAATGAGCTTGAAAAAATCAGCTTGTCTTGCTTGACTTTCCCTACAGAGCTGAGGAATAAAATTGAAACAAGGAGTTCTGTGAGTCAGAGAATTTAAGAAAACCAGCTGATACATCACTTTTGGGTCAAATCCCTGATTTAGGGATTTTTTTTGTCTTGCTCTTTGTATGGACACTAAGAACTCTAAAGCTGAGACTTGTCTCCCTTGAATGTAGCTTTATTTTATTTATTTAGCCTGAAGCTGTGCCAGGGGAGGGTCAGGTTGGGCACCAGCAGGAATTTCCCCATGGAAAGGATGTCCAGGAACTGCCCAGGGAGGTTTGGAGTCCCCATCCCTGGAGGTGTCCAAGGAATTCCTGGATGTGGCACTCGGTGCAGGGTGACAGGGTGGACATCACTCACAGCTGGACCCAATAACCTCAGAGATCTTTCCCAGCCTCAGGGATTCTGTGATTCCAAACAAAAATGTGATGATTGCTGGGCTTAATTTTTCTTCCATGAGAGTAATTTGGAAATATGTGTGATTAATGGAGATGAATTTAGTATTTGTGTGAAGGATGAATTGATGTGTCCACCCTGGATCAGGGAGACTGCTTTAATCTTCATTTCTCCCCTGTCTTGCCACCATCATTCTTATTCTATTTTTTTTTTATAGAAGCCTTTTACTTTACTAGAAGGGGTGAGGGAAAACATGGGGGTTTGTTCAAGCTGGGGATGTTCTCCTTCAGCACTGCCTTTTGTGGGATATAATTTAGTTAATTCTCTAGGAATTTTCACCTTGCCCAGATGCAAATTAGGGTTAATTGTAATTCCACTACTTCAGTTTTGCAGTGAATTCTGTAAAATCCTCTTATTTTCCTTTTTCCTTACCATTTCATTGTTCACCTTCTCAGTTTTCCTTTCACAGAACTTTAAAAATGATACTGCCAAATTCCCTGTGCATTTTAATGTCTTCTGATGTATTTTCTGCAGTAAAATTCAATATTTTGACACTTAAAACCTTTGTTTCCTTTGTGTGTGTTACACCTACACTGTCATTGGGACATGTGGGCAGTGGCTGTTGTTTCTAAGCTGTGTTACCATTTTTTTTTCTCTCTTTTTTTTCCTATTTTAGATAAAATTTGAGAAAGATTTGGAGCGCATCTGGAAAAAAGCTGGCTTGAAAAGTGCTCCTGCAGGGTGGCAAACCCCCAAGATCTACCTGAGGAGTTCCAAGCGATAAAAAAAAAACCCACCTGTCACAAATTTTAACCTGCAATTGTAATTAAAAAAATATTTAAGTATGTTGATGACAATTAACGTTTTTCTGATTGTGATGAAAACAGTAGGAAGCAGTTTTCCAAGGACAAACTGGCAGCTTTTCCTCCCCAAAGGAGAGGTGGGAGCTCTTTTCTGTGGTCATTGCTGAATTTCTGGAGTCCCTCTTTGAGATGAGGCTGAACCTAAGAAAAATCAGGTGTGGGAGAAGGGATCAGTGAAAGAATTCCTGTTGTTTATATGGCACAAACCTTTGGAAAAGTTCTTTTCTAAATTGCATTCTTTCACAGCCTTACTGCAGAAAGGTTGGGGTTTTCCTAAGAGTTGTGGTGGGGTGGGAATTGGATCAGAATTCCATGGAATTTACCTGCAGGAGCTTTTGTTGTCTCTTATGTGGAGCCTTGGGCATCGTGTGAGCATCCTTAAAAGGCACATTTCTTCTTGTGTTCTATTTTGTGCTAATAAAAAATTGTTATTTTTTTGTCTTTGACTGACCCCTTTAATGTAAAACATCCAGATATTGCTCAAAGTAGAAGCTCAGAGCTAATTATTCATTAACTACAAGAACTTTTGTGCCTGAGACAAGCCTGATACAATCAGCTGCTTTTGCATGGTTGAAGAGAGTTGTGAAAGCTGTGAAAAATACAGGTGTTTAAAATAAACCCTGACAGAGGACTTTTTATCTGGGTTCTGCTTTTCTTTTTGGGCTTTGAGGCAGTTCTGGGTGGTTTAGTGTGATTTAATTTTTGTATTTTGGCAAAGAGATGGAGTGGGCTGAGGGGGAAAAGGATAAGCTGGGAAACTCCCTGAAAATAATTCCCTTTTTTTTTGCTAGGAGAGAATAAACTGAAAGGGAGGAAAATAATTTGGAAATCATTGCCGCACAAGATGCATTTTAGGACATCCTGAGCCCCACCCCTCACAGGCAAGAATTCCTTCCCAACATCTTAAATCTCTCAGGATTTGTGTTTTCCATGTGGAAGAACTCCTGTTTTACAAGGCACTGATCAGGTTTTACACCCCAGGGCTGTGTCAGCTTCCTTCAGTGTTCTTGAGCACAGGATGGAATTTGTAACTCACTTTACTGAACAGAGAGATGGAAAATGCCCCTGATTTTCTGTAGAGGGAGCATGAGTCCAGGATATACTCACAAAGCTTTATTAGGAGCTGCTTTTCCTCTCCAAAATATCTGAATCTGCACACTTAACAAAGGTTTATGTGCCTGTGTAGCTGTGGTAACAAAAATAAAGCTGCAAACAGGAAAGCTTTGATGTAAAATTCCCCAAATATTGAAGATTTCTATTATTTTGCTGTTCTGAGAGGAAATGGTAGAAAACCAGACAAATTCATGGTGTTCATTACAGAGCTTGGAGATAACTGAGTGGATTTTATGTCACTGATTGGGCTGGAAAGGTCCCTGAAAATTGGAATATCAATCTAATGTCTCTCGTTTTTCCCTAATTCTTGGATTCTATGCAGGCAGCAAGCTCAGCTGAACAGAAGAAATTCAGGAATTTTCTCTCAGTGATCAGGTTTGGCTGGAATGAGTTGGCTCTAAAATAGGAAATAGCTGACTTGGAGGGGATGAAAACTGAATTTTGTTTCTCTGAATCAAATCCCATTGCAAATGTGGAGGGTGTTGCCCCATTTTGGAAAGCTCAGAGCCCAGCAATGTGGTGGCAGTGGCAAAAATACAATTTCTTTTTAATGTTAGTAACTAACAGTTCCTGGCAAACAGGATTTGGACTTGGAGAGCAATGATTCTTACCAGAGCAAGAACTAAATACATTTTTAAGAGTCTTGTATAGAAAATGTGGTGTTCCATGACACCAGCATGGATTCTTGAGGTTTTTTAGAGGCTTCTGGACATAAAATAAAAGTTTTTTCAGCCACAAATAAATCCAGTTGAACTTAAAAACACATTCCAGCTGAGAATCAGACCTGATTGTATGTGGGAAGGGGGAAAATGGGAAATAACTGTTTCCTGCAGCTTTTTCCTAAAAGCCTAGATCAATTTCCAGTATTTTATATAACTAGAAAATTGCTGGGTGCTCCATGGTGGTAGAGATGAGGTGTTGGAAACGACAGGAGATTTTTAGGATTGAAGCAGAAGCAGGAGATTCATGATACTGCTGCACACAACTGGAGCAACAAAAAGAGAAATATTCTTCCTGTTGTATTGGCTTCTGAGAGCTGGTTTGCCTAAAACCTGTTTTTTTGAGCATGTTTTGGGGGTTTTTTTGTGTGTGTGTGGTTTATTTCTATTTGGGTTTTGTTTGTTGTTGTTTGTGGGGTTTTTGTTTGCTTTGGGTTTGGTTTTTTGTTTGGTTGGTTGGTTTTGTTTTGGGGTTTTTTGACATCAGAGGGAGAGGACAGGAGTGATGCCTCCTCCTTTTGCTGCTGGAGGAGTTCTCTGAAAAAAAAAAATATTTGTTCTGATATTTTTATTGTAAGTACTGTTACTTCTTCCACCAATAGGCTCCAGTCCCAAAAGGGAGTAAATCAGCCAATATCAGGGGATGTTTATAGCACTTGGTGTACAAAACACCTTTCAGGGCATTAATAGGACCTGAGTACCATTAATAATTAATAAATTAATAATTCCGAGCAGGAACAGTGGGTACCTTTACTCTGGTGAGCTCATGCCCTGTTAAATGGGGCACTTTGATGTGAAAAACCCAAAAGTTGGTGTACATTGGCTGTGACCTGCTCCTTCTCAAATGCTGGAGCCAGCTCAGCTTTGGTGGGACTGATCCCTGCTCCAGAGGTTCCAAATGGAACAAACCAGGCTTGTTCCCACCAGCTGCAAACCTGGCTGAGGTGGGATTACTGATCTTACAAACAGCACCTGGGCCTGACTCAAATGCCATCTTTTCTTTTCACCATTCATGCTGTTCTGTGTTTTCCAGGAAAACATCTTGGTTTGGGGTCATTTGGGCTGAAATTCTCCAAAAATAACAGCACTCAGTACCCAGCCTGGAGCATTTGTGAAATGGGTTTGAAAAGTGGTTTTTTGGTGGTTTTTTTTTTTTTCCCTGGCTGCTTCTTAAATAAATAAATAAAAATATCAATAACTGTAGCTGCTGTAAACATCCGAGGTAGCTTGGAGCAAACACAGGGTGCTGGTTTTCCTGTGGAAGAATCCATTCTTGCTTGATTTTCCCTACAAAACTGAGGAATAAAATTGAAACAAGGAGTTCTGTGAGTCAGAGAATTTAAGAAAACCAGCTGATACATCACTTTTGGATCAAATCCCTGATTTAGGGATGTTTTTTTTTTTGTCTTGCTCCTTGCATGGGCACTAAGAACTCTAAAGCTGAGACTTGTCCCCCTTGAATGTAGCTTTATTTTCTGCAAAATTATGGGAAGAAGGAGGAGTTGGAATGGACAGTGGCACCTTGACAAGTCTAAATGGAAGTGGCTAAAATTTGAAGTAGAAAATGTTTAAAAAATGAGGATTTTTTACACTTGTTCAGTAATAGAGGCTTGGTGCTGCTCGGGCAGGTGTTGGCTGAGGGAATTGTACTGCCTTTGGTCTGGAAAAAAACACTCCTGGAGCCTCTCAGCAGCTGAAATACTTTGAAATTCCTTTCTCACTTGTAAAATGATTGGTGTTAAGAAGAGGATGTGGAATTGTGAGCAAGGAGTTGGCACAGCAGGTGAAAAATTAACAGAGTGGGATTTTTGTGTTTTAAAGGAATTAGTTCATGGCAGGGTGATCTGGCTGAGTTTTATCAGCAGCCAGCGAGGAACTGGTTAAAGCTGCCGGAAAAAAGAGCTGGAAGAAATGGAGCTGGAGTCAGCAAAATGTGAGCAGCAGCAGTTACTCACTGCCTCACCCCCTGACTCAGGCTGTGTCCTCAGGGACAAGGGGGTGCCTGCTGTCAGCACGGGCACTGCCAGGCCAGGGTGACATGGCACAGCCAGGCCATGGTGGCCCAGCCAGGCCAGGGTGACACTGCCAGGCCAGGGTGACACTGCCAGGCCATGGTGGCCCAGCCAGGCCAGGGTGACACTGCCAGGCCAAGGTGGCACAGCCACGCCAGGGTGACACAGCCAGGCCAGGGTGACATGGCACAGCCAGGCCAGGGTGGCACTGCCACGCCAGGGTGACACAGACAGGTCAGGGTGGTACTGCCAGGCCAGGGTGACATGGCACAGCCAGGCCAGGGTGGCACTGCCACGCCAGGTTGACACAGACAGGTCAGGGTGGTACTGCCAGGCCAGGGTGACATGGCACAGCCAGGCCAGGGTGACACAGGTCAGGATGACATGGCACAGCCAGGTCAGGGTGGCACAGCTAGGCAAAGATTGCACAGACAGGCCAGGGTGACACAGACAGGCCAGGGTGGCACAGCCAGGTCAGGATGGCACAGCCAGGCCAGGGTGGCACAGCCAGACCAGGGTGATATGGCACAGCCGGCTGGGATCTGCCCAGCAGCACCAGGATCATCCCCAGGGTAAGTCTGGGACTGCTCACCCTGAATTTCCACCTTGTTCTGAGGGAGAAAATGGCATTTCCAAACTGTTCTGAGGGAGAAAATGGCATTTCCAAACTGTTCTGAGGGAGAAAATGGCTTGTTCTGAGGGAGAAAATGGCATTTCCAAACTGTTCTGAGGGAGAAAATGGCATTTCCAAACTGTTCTGAGGGAGAAAATGGCATTTCCACCTTGTTCTGAGGGAGAAAATGGCATTTCCAAACTGTTCTGAGGTAAAAATACAGATTTCCAAACTGTTCTGAGGGAGGAATATGAATTTCCACCTTGTTCTGAGGGAGAAATTGCATTTCCACACTGTTCTGAGGGAGAAATATGCATTTTCAAACTGTTCTGAGGGAAAAATATGCATTTCCACCTTGTTCTGAGGCAAAAATTGCAGTTCCGTCTTGTTCTGAGGGAGAAATATGCATGTCCACCTTATTCTGAAGGAGAAATTGCATTTCCACATTGTTCTGAGGGAGGAATATGAATTTCCACATTGTTCTGAGGGAGAAAATTCATTTCCACATTGTTTAGAGAGAGAAATATGGATTTCCAC